TAAGAGAGTTAAATTTAGTTCTAGAAAGAATTATAGAAAAATTTATTTGTATTGATGCTAGTATGGAATAATTTTTTTTGAATAATGATGATCCTCACAGTGTTAAAGAAACCAAGATATTCCACTTAAATTTAACACTGGATGCCAGGCACTGTGCTACTGACATCATGGGAGTTCTGATTCACTGGGGGCGATGTTTCAAAGCACTGCCCCTCTATGAAGGGAATCCATGTACGTGTTCACCAGCTGCGTAGTATTTGGGATCCCTGTGGCAGACTGCCGCAGATTATGGGATACGAAAGATTAAAAAGCATAGTCTACTCCAACCTCTCCTTCTTTTACTTTACACATGAGGAAACAGAGGTCCAAGAACGGCATGTTACACATCTCATTGATGCACACTGGAGAGGCTGTGGGCCACATGACACCCATGCCAGATGCAGCCTCCTTCTGTATTTTTGCAGTAAGTCAGATTCTCCCAGGTGCTATGGACCATGGCACCGGCACCATCTGAGTTAGTGACAGTCATTGTCTGGTGTCCAGGCTAAGCCACCAAGATGGGAAGATCAGGTTGGCATCTGAGCCAGGTTACCAACCTGAGGAGCAACCTGGTGCCATTTCAATGGCCGATGACATAAGGGGGGTGGCCGACTGTGTGGAGCCCAGAAGACTTGCTTTGACAGACCCCTTCCTGGATACTGAATGAGTGTGTAAAAAGTAAAAATTTGGCTACAGCTTGTTACTTGTCCTTGATTTCTATGTGATTGTTTGATAGGAAGGTGCTATTAATACTTTCTTGTGATCGAATTCTTTCCTTTGGAGATAATTGGATTCTACTTCCTCACCTTTCTTGCACATGGATTTGAAGATGAGTTCCCTAGACATATTTTTAGGTTTAAGAGCTAAACCTAAACCTTCACAGGAAATGGAGCATCAAGGCCCAGAGCCAATTCTTCTCCTTGTCAAAAACAGAACTTTAAAGATATCTTAAAGATATCTTCTTCAAATAAGTTCTGACACTCTCAAGATTAGTCCTACACAGCATTTAGGCAATCTTATGCCAACCTGGTGACAATAATTTGAACTCACTGACCTGGCTCTTTGAGGTTGATGGGCCCAGCTATCAGCCTATTTTGCCCATTAAAACTTGATCTAAAAGAGATTTTTAAATTTTTTCATACCATGAGCCCTTTTTGTACTCTCATGAAACCTATTTGATTCAGAATATCATTTTTAAGTAGCATAGGGTTACAAAGGAAATGAATTATATATTTTTAGAGTGTATTTTTTAAATTATGATATTATATACTTTTTAATTAACATGCTAAATTACGTATCTTAAGTATTACCTACATTTTGAAGTCAGGTTGAATGTAAATATTTCTAGATATGTGCAACAACTGTCATGTCGTTATAAAATTTCTGATTTTTATTGGTTACAAAGTCACAGACACTACACAGATATAGATATTACTAGTAGTACTGGGGCTTGTTGCCTATATTCTGGATTGAATAAAATTCTAAATCTCAGTTAGAAATCAGTACAAATAGAGATTTGTTTTCAATGAAGTTCATGCAACCCACTGAGTTCCATACATGGGTATATTGGTAAGGGCCCAGTTAAGAACTGTAGCTAAGACTTTATGAATTGTGCTCTGTGCAACTCTAGGGACTCATGGAAGGGGACATTTTGCAGGTGGTTAAAGCTTTGGGTTATTTTATAAAACTACCTAAGTGTTTCATGAGGCACTCATTTGCAATCCATTTCCTTATCTTATTTTGTTCCCAAACTGCAGATTCATCTTCACATAGCATTGTTTCCCAAGTACAAGCTAAGAATGTACCAGGAAATCAACTTGAACACTTGATTAAGATGAAACAATTGCAAATAAATAAATGTTCTGTGACTTTAGAGGGTTTGGAAACCCGGGCTGAAGGGATATCCGCCTCCCCATGACTCCCGGATACTTTTGGTGGCAATGAGCCCATACAGATGACCTTCAGAGTTTTAGACAAGGACAGGAGTCCTTGGCCCAGCAGAGCACAAGGAACTATTCAGTATGTCAGGGAGTGGAGCTTCAAGCGGACACAGAAGTGTGGTTATGGGTTGCCTTGGGGGCTGCTGAAAGAAAACATTTCTCCACATCTGAAGACTGACTTTGCTGCCTGCAAAAACGATGTTAGGCCTTCAGTTTCCTTTTTATGTATTTATTTATTCTTCTCGTTTTAAACTTAATTACATCTGGCCTCCATTTCCCTCTCTTCTGTCCATTGAACCCGTCCCCTGGTGTTAATTGTTTTCTTTGGTTACTATTAGTGCCAAGATTTTGCTGCCACTTATCCCATGCCTGTCCTGGCCTGCCACCCCTATACAAAATCATCGAGGTAGGAGTGTTGAGACAGGAGAGGATTTTACAGTTTAGTAGGGGAGCAACCTCAAGGAGAGACAAATAAATGATAAAAGACTACTTAAAAATTATTCATAATTACCAATAGAGAGAAGACTGAGATTGAAGTAATTAAAGGGGGAAGTTTCACTCTTAAAAATCTATATATAACCATATCATTGGAATTTGTTTCTACATTAAGCACAAATTATTTTTGTGTTTAAAGAAAGTAAAATTAGGCAGAATTGGCTACTATCTTGTCATTAGTAAAATTACTAGTCATTTATGAGTTCATCTCATTTAGCTCATCTGATTTTCTGCAATAGTAGCCATAGTTCCATCTTTTCCAACCATGTGCTTTTCTTATCCACTGAATAAACAAAAAGGAAATCAATAATCCTCTGCTGGTCTTCTTCTTCATGGCTCTATCTCAGTGCCCATTTATCTGCTGCTCCACAGTTTGTGTTATTAATACATGAAGGATGATGAAACCTCTTGCTTATGATGTCACCAATCTTAGCTTTTCAGCCCCATGTGTTGGGATAAAACACTGACCCTCCTTAATTACTTTATTTTCAAAGTAAACGTATCCCCCTTTATTTTAGTTGCTTCTTATTTCCTAAATTACGTCTCTGCTATTGCCAGCAGTGACCTCACAATGTCTTTGGACTTCTGACCAAACTTATATTTTTCGTAGTGCTCCGAATATTACCAAAACAAGCAAACATGGAACAAACATGCTGCTAAACCAGTCTGAGAACTACTGCAGGCCAAGCAGAGCGGAGAGTCTATCCTTCCTCCTGCAGGACTTGTGATCCTTGACTCAAACAAATGAGGGCAAAAAAGCACAAAAACTCTCCTCCCTCACTTTATTCTCAGAGCCAAAAATTGGCTGCAGACATTCTGTGTGTTTTTGTAACCACTCCACACGTGATGTTGGCACCATGGGTGTCTGTCTTAAGAATGTTTTCCAAACAGTCACCATCTGGATCCAAATATGATGCTTCACTCACTCAAAACTTTTTCCAAGAATATGAGAAGGAAAGATGACAATTACCTGCCCTGTCGTTTCCTAGAAAAAGTTCTGTTTTTAAACTGAAACAAAGAAAAACCACAAACTTTTGTACCACAGCCAATATCTAAATGTGTTTGGTTTCTGAGTGTCTCAAATTTCTTAAGTTAAAATCCATTAATATATAAACCCACCCTCCACCCTCCTCACACGCAGGCACACAACCCACACCGAGCTACTCACCGGACAATCTGTCAGTGGATCCCTCATGTCGAAATGTGTCTGGCTTTTGTCCTTTCACCTACGCTCCAGCATTCTAGACACTGTAATCAAGGTTGGGTGTGTACTGGACTTCCGGGATTCAAAGGGCCTAGAGTACGTCAGTCCTTGTCAAACACACCAAGGAGGAAGTCCCAGCTCTGGACTTTCATCCCGTTTGTTTCCTGAGAAAGTAAAGAACTGCTCTGGATCAAGAGAGCCAGGGTGAGACAGTGAGAATGACTTCTCTAAACCCTCAGAGGGCAGGATCCTGAACATTGAGATAAGGCACAGAAGCTGCAATGTGTCTCCAATAATTCTAGCGCTCGGTCTGACAGTGCAGGAACACATATCCTCTCAGCCTGTAGTATTAATCATGCTTGTTATTTTCTATATTGTATGATGCTTTGACTTTTTGGGACCTCGTGGACTTGGAGAGAGACTGCCTGTCTGAGGGTTAGCTAATTCCTAGAGAGAGCAAACAACTGGCTTGTGAGCATGCCTTTAATATGCAAACCAACAAATCTAGAGCCCAACTGCCCCACCCACCTCCTTTATCCAGCTCTCAAATACCAAGCCCATATTCCCCCACCCCCTAAAATCCCACAGGGCCAGATACCAAACAACTAGGAACCTACTCCTGTAGAACTATAACTATAGAATGTTCAGAAACAGCTATCAGGAGTAAAGTGTACACTAACCACTTCTCCGAGCCTAACTCCACTCTCCCTCCAGCCCCAACAGGATCAAGAGGCTAAGCTTTCAATGTAAAGAAAAAAAATTGCCTAGATTTGGCCTCATTTTTCATCACTCAAAAGGATAGACAGAATAAGAACTCAACCACAGCTTGAGTTCTGTTGCTTTCTCTGCACCTGTGGTCCCAGTTGCTAATCATTAGATTTCCAATGAATGGGCTATTGACGTATGACAGCCATTTGCTAGGCTGTGGGCGGTTCTGTTTGACTGGCAGGCAAGGGCAGGCCCCAGTTTGAAAGGAGCTCCATCAACACAGTCCAGTGGAACATTTCAGAGTTTAGAAGCATTCAGTTTTCACCTGCCTGGCTGGCTCAGCCTCCATTCATCTGCCCTGGTGTGCAGGCTCCATTCAATGTCCCTAGAAATAAGCGAGTTGCAGTGGCTCATGCCTATAATCCAAGCACTTTGGGAGGTGGAGTCTACAAGGTCACTTGAGGCCAGGAGTTTGAGAGCAGCCTGGGCAAAATAGCAAAAGACTCCTATCTCTACAATTTTTTCTTTTCTAATTAGGGTGTAGTGGTATGTGCTGTAGTCCCAGCTACTCAAGAGGTTGAGGCAGAGAATTGCTTGGGTCTAGGGGGTCAAAGCTGGGCAACAGAGTGAGACTCTGTTTCTAAAAAAAAAGAAGAAAGAAAAAGAAAAAGCTTCTAGAAACAACATAGAAGAGTCAGGACAATTAAGGAAAAGAACTTGCCTTGCAACAAGAGTGGAGAGGAGGGGTCTTTTCCACACACTTAATGTCCTCCCTCTTTGCTTATCCAAAGAACTTGATCACTGGAGGTTACAACAATCTTGGGTAGCTATCTCAGGGCTGGAATTAGACAAGGCAACTCTGTATAATAAAAGAAATTTAAGTCAGGCACAGTGGCACACACCTGTAATCTCAGCACTTTGGGAGGCTGAGACGGGAAGATTGCTTTTGGCCAGGAGTTCGAGACCAGCCTTGTCAACATAGCAAGACCCCATCTCTATTTTTTTTTTTTTTTTAATTTATTTATTATTATTAAACTTCAAGTTGTAGGGTACATGTGCACAACGTGCAGGTTTGCTACATATGTATACTTGTGCCATGTTGGTGTGCTGCACCCATCAACTCGTCATTTACATCAGGTATAACTCCCAGTGCAATCCCTCCCCCCTCCCCCCTCCCCATGATAGGCCCCGGTGTGTGGTGTTCCCCTTCCCGAGTCCAAGTGATCTCATTGTTCAGTTCCCACCTACGAGTGAGAACATGCGGTGTTTGGTTTTCTGTTCTTGTGATAGTTTGCTAAGAATGATGGTTTCCAGCTGCATCCATGTCCCTACAAAGGACACAAACTCATCCTTTTTTATGGCTGCATAGTATTCCATGGTGTATATGTGCCACATTTTCTTAATCCAATCTGTCACTGATGGACATTTGGGTTGATTCCAAGTCTTTGCTATTGTGAATAGTGCTGCAATAAACATACGTGTGCATGTGTCCTTATAGCAGCATAATTTATAATCCTTTGGGTATATACCCAGTAATGGGATGGCTGGGTCATATGGTACATCTAGTTCTAGATCCTTGAGGAATCGCCATACTGTTTTCCATAATGGTTGAACTAGTTTACAATCCCACCAACAGTGTAAAAGTGTTCCTATTTCTCCACATCCTCTCCAGCACCTGTTGTTTCCTGACTTTTGAATGATCGCCATTCTAACTGGTGTGAGATGGTATCTCATTGTGGTTTTGATTTGCATTTCTCTGATGGCCAGTGATGATGAGCATTTTTTCATGTGTCTGTTGGCTGTATGAATGTCTTCTTTGGAGAAATGTCTGTTCATATCCTTTGCCCACTTTTGGATGGGGTTGTTTGTTTTTTTCTTGTAAATTTGTTTGAGTTCTTTGTAGGTTCTGGATATTAGCCCTTTGTCAGATGAGTAGATTGCAAAAATTTTCTCCCATTCTGTAGGTTGCCTGCTCACTCTGATGGTAGTTTCTTTTGCTGTGCAGAAGCTCTTTAGTTTGATGAGATCCCATTTGTCAATTTTGGCTTTTGTTGCCGTTGCTTTTGGTGTTTTAGACATGAAGTCTTTGCCCATGCCTATGTCCTGAATGGTACTACCTAGGTTTTCCTCTAGGATTTTTATGGTATTAGGTCTAACATTTAAGTCTCTAATCCATCTTGAATTAATTTTCGTATAAGGAGTAAGGAAAGGATCCAGTTTCAGCTTTCTACTTATGGCTAGCCAATTTTCCCAGCACCATTTATTAAATAGGGAATCCTTTCCCCATTTCTTGTTTCTCTCAGGTTTGTCAAAGATCAGATGGCTGTAGATGTGTGGTATTATTTCTGAGGACTCTGTTCTGTTCCATTGGTCTATATCTCTGTTTTGGTACCAGTACCATGCTGTTTTGGTTACTGTAGCCTTGTAGTATAGTTTGAAGTCAGGTAGCGTGATGCCTCCAGCTTTGTTCTTTTGACTTAGGATTGTCTTGGAGATGCGGGCTCTTTTTTGGTTCCATATGAACTTTAAAGCAGTTTTTTCCAATTCTGTGAAGAAGCTCATTGGTAGCTTGATGGGGATGGCATTGAATCTATAAATTACCTTGGGCAGTATGGCCATTTTCACGATATTGATTCTTCCTATCCATGAGCATGGTATGTTCTTCCATTTGTTTGTGTCCTCTTTGATTTCACTGAGCAGTGGTTTGTAGTTCTCCTTGAAGAGGTCCTTTACATCCCTTGTAAGTTGGATTCCTAGGTATTTTATTCTCTTTGAAACAATTGTGAATGGAAGTTCATTCCTGATTTGGCTCTCTGTTTGACTGTCACTGGTGTATAAGAATGCTTGTGATTTTTGCACATTAATTTTGTATCCTGAGACTTTGCTGAAGTTGCTGATCAGCTTAAGGAGATTTTGGGCTGAGACAATGGGGTTTTCTAAATATACAATCATGTCGTCTACAAACAGGGACAATTTGACTTCTTCTTTTCCTAACTGAATCCCCTTGATTTCTTTCTCTTGCCTGATTGCCCTAGCCAGAACTTCCAACACTATGTTGAATAGGAGTGGTGAGAGAGGGCATCCCTGTCTTGTGCCAGTTTTCAAAGGGAATTTTTCCAGTTTTTGCCCATTCAGTATGATATTGGCTGTGGGTTTGTCATAAATAGCTGTTATTATTTTGAGGTACGTTCCATCAATACCGAATTTATTGAGCGTTTTTAGCATGAAGGGCTGTTGAATTTTGTCAAAAGCCTTTTCTGCATCTATTTAGATAATGATGTGGTTCTTGTCTTTGGTTCTGTTTATATGCTGGATTATGTTTATTGATTTGCGAATGTTGAACCAGCCTTGCATCCCAGGGATGAAGCCCACTTGATCATGGTGGATAAGCTTGTTGATGTGCTGCTGAATCCGGTTTGCCAGTATTTTATTGAGGATTTTTGCATCGATGTTCATCAGGGATATTGGTCTAAAATTCTCTTTTTTTGTTGTGTCTCTGCCAGGCTTTGGTATCAGGATGATGTTGGCCTCATAAAATGAGTTAGGGAGGATTCCCTCTTTTTCTATTGATTGGAATAGTTTCAGAAGGAATGGTACCAGCTCCTCCTTGTACCTCTGGTAGAATTCAGCTGTGAATCCATCTGGTCCTGGACTTTTTTTGGTTGGTAGGCTATTAATTATTGCCTCAATTTCAGAGCCTACTATTGGTCTATTCAGGGATTCAACTTCTTCCTGGTTTAGTCTTGGAAGAGTGTAAGTGTCCAGGAAATTATCCATTTCTTCTAGATTTTCCAGTTTATTTGCGTAGAGGTGTTTATAGTATTCTCTGATGGTAGTTTGTATTTCTGTGGGGTAGGTGGTGATATCCCCTTTATCATTTTTAATTGCGTCGATTTGATTCTTCTCTCTTTTCTTCTTTATTAGTCTTGCTAGTGGTCTGTCAATTTTGTTGATCTTTTCAAAAAACCAACTCCTGGATTCATTGATTTTTTGGAGGGTTTTTTGTGTCTCTATCTCCTTCAGTTCTGCTCTGATCTTAGTTATTTCTTGCCTTCTGCTAGCTTTCGAATGTGTTTGCTCTTGCTTCTCTAGTTCTTTTAATTGCGATGTTAGAGTGTCAATTTTAGATCTTTCCTGCTTTCTCTTGTGGGCATTTAGTGCTATAAATTTCCCTCTACACACTGCTTTAAATGTGTCCCAGAGATTCTGGTATGTTGTATCTTTGTTCTCATTGGTTTCAAAGAACATCTTTATTTCTGCCTTCATTTCGTTATGTACCCAGTAGTCATTCAGGAGCAGGTTGTTCAGTTTCCATGTAGTTGAGCGGTTTTGATTGAGTTTCTTAGTCCTGAGTTCTAATTTGATTGCACTGTGGTCTGAGAGACAGTTTGTTATAATTTCTGTTCTTGTACATTTGCTGAGGAGTGCTTTACTTCCAATTACGTGGTCAATTTTGGAGTAAGTACGATGTGGTGCTGAGAAGAATGTATATTCTGTTGATTTGGGGTGGAGAGTTCTATAGATGTCTATTAGGTCTGCTTGCTGCAGAGATGAGTTCAATTCCTGGATATCCTTGTTAACTTTCTGTCTCGTTGATCTGTCTAATGTTGACAGTGGAGTGTTGAAGTCTCCCATTATTATTGTATGGGAGTCTAAGTCTCTTTGTAAGTCTCTAAGGACTTGCTTTATGAATCTGGGTGCTCCTGTATTGGGTGCATATATATTTAGGATAGTTAGCTCTTCCTGTTGAATTGATCCCTTTACCATTATGTAATGGCCTTCTTTGTCTCTTTTGATCTTTGATGGTTTAAAGTCTGTTTTATCAGAGACTAGTATTGCAACCCCCGCTTTTTTGTGTTCTCCATTTGCTTGGTAAATCTTCCTCCATCCCTTTATTTTGAGCCTATGTATGTCTCTGCGTGTGAGATGGGTCTCCTGAATACAGCAGACTGATGGATCTTGACTCTTTATCCAGTTTGCCAGTCTGTGTCTTTTAATTGGAGCATTTAGTCCATTTACATTTAAGGTTAAGATTGTTATGTGTGACCTTGATCCTGCCATTATGATATTAACTGGTTATTTTGCTCATTAGTTGATGCAGTTTCTTCCTAGCCTTGATGGTCTTTACATTTTGGCATGTTTTTGCAATGGCTGGTACCGGTTGTTCCTTTCCATGTTTAGTGCTTCCTTCAGGGTCTCTTGTAAGGCAGGCCTAGTGGTGACAAAATCTCTAAGCATTTGCTTATCTGTAAAGGATTTTATTTCTCCTTCACTTATGAAACTCAGTTTGGCTGGATATAAAATTCTGGGTTTAAAATTCTTTTCTTTAAGAATGTTGAATATTGGCCCCCACTCTCTTCTGGCTTGAAGAGTTTCTGCCGAGAGATCTGCTGTTAGTCTGATGGGCTTCCCTTTGTGGGTAACCCGACCTTTCTCTCTGGCTGCCCTTAAGATTTTTTCCTTCATTTCAACTTTGGTGAATCTGGCAATTATGTGTCTTGGAGTTGCTCTTCTCGAGGAGTATCTTTGTGGCGTTCTCTGTATTTCCTGGATTTGAATGTTGGCCTGCCCTACTAGGTTGGGGAAGTTCTCCTGGATGATATCCTGAAGAGTGTTTTCCAACTTGGTTCCATTTTCCCCCTCACTTTCAGGTACCCCAATCAGACGTAGATTTGGTCTTTTTACATAATCCCATACTTCTTGCAGGCTTTGTTCATTTCTTTTTCTTCTTTTTTCTTTTGGTTTCTCTTCTCGCTTCATTTCATTCATTTGATCCTCCATCGCTGACATTCTTTCTTCCAGTTGATCGAGATGGTTACTGAAGCTTGTGCATTTGTCACGTATTTCTCGTGCCATGGT